CCACGTACCTACGCCACTGATTGAGTCAGGGACGGATCCAGAAAGAGCGGTCCGGGGCCATGGCCCCCTTGGGCCCGAAATGGCCCATAGGCTCCGAAGGGGCCTATAGCTGACCGAACAGATGCAGTTTTTTAAACATAAGACACAACAAAACCTCTTTGAATTTCCAGGATTGAAATGAACAGCTGCGGGACGCCAATATAAGAACAGATAACACCATTTTCGGCGATCATTTTTGGACAAAACACGCTCGGCTGAAATCCAGGAGCATGCGAACCCTTCGCCCATTTTAGAACTCAAAGTCACTACATACAGAACACGACCTTCATCCGGCCTTTCGGACCCTTCGGGCCTGACCCAGTGTGAAGGGCCCCAAAAGATGGAGTGTACCCGAGCGGGTTATCTGATGACCCCGACAGGGGTCATCAGGTAAGGCCCAAAGAGGAGCGAGCAGCGCTCGCGTCCGCGTGTGGTGGCGCGCTCAGTTGAACTGAGATGGTCCAATAAATAACACATTGATCCCAGTTCCGCTTAACAGGCCCATGTTGGAATTGGGTCGGAGGGCCCACCGTTCGGTACTGGGGGCCCTGACTGGTACAGCATCCTTTCAGCGCCTCAATGTGAACAATCGTCATAAGTTTGAATCATAATCATAATCGTCATTGAAATCGAAAGTACCCAAGACACGACGTAGAGGTGCCATAACAATTGGATGTGCCCGAGCAGCTTATCAGAGGGGGCAGCGACAAGAACATAGAGCGTAGGGCCTTCCATTGCAATGAAAAGTGCCCAAAACTCACTGCGGAGGGCCCCGAAAGATGAAGAGTACCCGAGCAGGTTTTCAGATGGCCCCGATAGGGACACAGGGCCCCAAATTCAAACGCCAAGACTCAATGTGCAGGGCTCCGGAACAATTCAAATCCGGATTCAAATAGGACGTCTCCAAGACCCAATGAAGAGGGCCCCCGAAAGATCGAGTGTATCCGGTCAGGCCATCCGATGGTCTTGACAAGGGCGTAGGGCCCTACAT